TTAAAAAGGGGGGGGAAAAGTTGATTGAAATCAAAGATAAATTACCTTTAAAATTGTTCTTTTTAAATTGAAAATGCCATTGTAGAAATGAAAACATTTGGCTAAGATTATCCAGGATTGATGCCTAGTTTTATGCTTTTCAATCCATGTTTAGACCCGTAAATATTGAAGTGGCTGACTTTTCAGAAATCCACGCACAGGTTCCCTTGGTGTTGTGGAAGCTCTAGATGTCCATCACCTTGCCACAAATATTGAGGTACCTGAGGATGGACTTTGACAGTTGGCCATTGCACACTGGGTTTGAAAATGTTTGCTGTTTTCCCAAACAAGACATAAGGCTAAACCCTATTTCACCTTTACTTGCCTATGTGGCACTTTTATGTAGCTGCAAATTTGCAATTTTTGACATTCACTTTGGCAAAAGTTTTTACTTTTGATGAAATAGATATACCCAGGGTGCAAAGGAAAGCAGAGGATGGGAGCTTTCCCACCTTTTACACAATAACTAAGTACAGACGGTCAAAAAGCCCAAGGTTGAAGCGATTAAATATTTGCAGGTAAACTGTGCAGATTGAACCAATAAGCAGATGAACAGACATTTACTTTTGATTCCAGAAATACAGCCACATTCCTGCAATGACCCAAGCTGGAAGCTGTGGGGGGGCACTAGAGCATGACTCCCTGCTTGGCTAGAGCAGACAGCTCGGGCCAAGGCTAGCCTGCTCACCCTGCAAATGGGGGTTTCCAGGGGAGGTGCAAAGCATCTTGGGATGGTGGTGGACTGTGAGTTAACTTGAATCTGGAGGGGATCTGGGACAGAAGTTCAATAAGCTGATTTAATGTAAATCAATTGAATCTGATACTACATCCATCCAAGTTTATCTTAAACTGGTTTTGACCATTTTGAAAGCGGTTTATGTGCATTGAGCTTCTGTTGTGTTATGGCTTTGATCACTTGTACTGGTTTGTGTCATTTCTGTCCTTCGCCTATACCCTAGTGGTTAGGGCCCTTGCCTATAGGGTGAGAGACCCCAGTTATAGCCCCCCACAAAGGGAGATTGAACCTGCATCCCTTGCTTCCCAGCAGAGTGTTCTAACTACTAGGTCATGGACTAAGCATTGCCCAGAGTGCACACCTCCTGAAGTTAGGCCACTGAGCCACCTGCAGGGGAAGGTATATGGAGGAAAACAAATCAGAAGGAGGGTGGCTAAGTAAAATGGATGCTGTTCTGTAGGGAGGCAGCCTTGTGCTCTAATCCTGGCTCCTCATCTCAGCAAGGTAAAAACTATTGCACTGCACTCATAATAGGAAAAGCAAAACATGGGAAGTGCCCCACAACTCACTACTGACCTAAAAGGCAAGAGAGCCTGGGCTCCTTTTCTGGGGGGGCTTCCACTAATCGTAACTTTCCTGCAACTAAGATTTTGGGGCTTACATGACATTATGTGCATGCCTGGGTACTTACCTGGGCACACCCAGAGTACAGCCTTCTGAGCATGTCTCCCCAAAAAGAGATGCTCTGTTACATTTTAAAAACCTGATGTGTATGAGGCACAAATAAGCATGTCTTATTTTTAAGGCAGAAGACAGGGTAGATATGCTCTTTGTAGACTAACTAAATCAGTTGCTTTTAAGTCATTCTTACAAGAATGTTTCTGCCCTTCCAGCTGCTCTCGTCTGTCAGAACTGCTGCACTTTTTCCGCTATGCAGTTCTTTTGGGGGGCATTTGTCACCTGAGAGGGGCAAGTGGTGATGGGTTCTGCTTCATACCCACTGTAAATTGTATGTCATTACCAGCCAAACCATTTTTTTCTGCCTCTGAGCTGAAAATGTGTGGACGTGCAAAGGATTTTGCTTTTCGGTCTTAGCACCTGGCCTCCACTAACAAATGACCTGATGCTAGCCACAATTTCATCAGTAAATGAACAAAGCTTTAGGGACATGTGCTACATTTTTTTTTGCGGGGAGGGGAGGAGGGGAGATTCAGGAGACAAGTTATCTTCTTTCTCACAGGAGGAAGCCAGATGTTGTTCTTTCTGTGTATAAGCTGCCTTTAGATAATGATGAAGTTCAGTCTGTAGACTTGCTGTATGCAAATAGAGCAGTGAAAGAAAAAAAAAACGGCAAACCCACAGCACGCCATCTGTTAGCTCTGTTTGGATATCGCTACTATAAAGCATATATAAATAGTACGGGCAGCATTTGTGTGATAATATGGGTGTCATTTACGTTTGAAGCCAGACGTTTTGCAGGCCGTCCAATATGTGGGGTTGTAACAGTACAGCAATTATGATCATGTTGTACTGAAGTCATTGCTTTTTAACATGGCTGTCTAACTGGCCTGACCCTTATTATCATGAGGGCCCCTTTGCATCACTTTGGCAATGTGAAAGAGCTCGAATAGGGTGCAGATGTCATTTGTGCTCATTTTGAAGTATTCTTTATACCAGACGTGTTCAGTGCAGGGTCTGTACTGAAAATGACACCCAGTGATCCTCTCTTCTAAGCGTACAGTGTAAAACTGTTGCTTGAAAAATCAGGTGGACCTATTGAATCCAATCTTATTTAAAATTTTGCATTTGTTTAAGTTGTGGCCCCTTAAAATGTAATCTTCAGATCCTGTGCTGTCTTGATCTGCATGTGATACTCCTGAGAATGAGACATGGGAAATGTGTGGATTTTGTTCAGTTGTAGCCAGGGGAGGGGAAGAAGCAGCAGCAGTGGGGAGAAAGAGGTCTGATTTGGATTTGTACATGCCCTGGAAAGCAGGGCAGCTTACTAGGTGAAAGACTTGGGTTCTTTTCCCAGCTCTGTCATTCTTTTTTTTTGTGCAGTTTTCCAGGCCTGAGCAAAGACTGCACCTCAGTTTGCTCTCTTTGAAAAGGACTATAATGCATCTACTTTGTAACGTGCTTTGTGTTCTATAGTTGAAATCCAAGCTAATTATCATGATCTACAGATCAGAATTTGGGTCCTTGGATGGTAACTTTGAGTACAAGCAAAAGCAAAATGATGATAACGCTTCCTGAGTGCATTGCACAAAAAGTTCTTTTTTTTTTTTTTTTTTTTTTTTTT